ACTGTTACTTCACTGTTCAAAGAAACCTGTCTAATTTAACGATTTAAGCATAATCTGACTGCTTAAACAGTAACATACAGATACCAATACTTTAATAAACCCAGGTCCAGAAGGCACTGTAAACCACTTGTTGCAACCACTCACAGTACTGCTGGCAGCAAGGCAGCCCAACGCAGGCTTTCATTGCTATACTAGCACTCCTAACCCTAGGACAGGAGGGATAGCCAGCAATGCTGAAAACCCAAGCTGCCACAATTTTGCGTTAGCAGCATTAAGGTAACTCTGGTTACTTCTGCTGCAATAATGCTCCTCACTTAAACAGCCTTCAAAAGTATGTTCTTGCTTTGCGCATGGGAACAGAGAGCTCTCTTTCGGCTTTATCGGTTGGTCCAAATATTTGGGATTTCAACAGCATGGGGAGTGGGAAAATGATATTTACACTACCCACCTTGGAGCACTTAACGTACTTCCTTCCCCCTCCTTGTCTCCAGTGTCTGCCTGGTTTACATTTGCCGCAGCTATAGCACCTCTCTCTCCTCTGGGAACAAAACACCCGAAACAGCACATCACTTCTAGCTTTCTGATAAGTGGCAAGGAAACAGGATATAAATTCACATGACAAGTACTCAGCTAATCATTTTTCATAAGTGATAGTGCTATTATATTAGATACTAACCAGGGAAAGTATGTGTACAAACAGAGCCATTAATCTACTTCAAGTCATCCACAGAGAAATACTTTAAGGATCAGGTTCTCATTTACTTAATTGATTTTTATTCTCCACAGATTTGTGCAAGATTATGATGTAAGAAGACAAAATCAACAGTTCTGGTGAAACAACTGAAGAGAGATGTCAGAGAATACCACTATGCAAAGAATTTATCTACAGAAAGCTATCAGTGTCATCAAAACTATTGCCCAGATGAGATACGTTGATATCAAACCAGGAGGCTGCCTTTGGAATCAACAATGTTGGATTAGTAACTATGAAGACACCAGAGTTAACAAATATATGGCTTTTCCTAAATTTTACTCACTTGTAATTCCAGTTCTCATAGACCACACATACCCGAAGCTTACTCAGCTTGTCCCAAGAACCGTAGGTCTACATGGAAGTTGCTCCCCAGAACAATTCTTCACCTGGGCAGACAGGTAGTTTAAACTGAACAAGCATCTGCCTCGTATTTTGTAAACAGAGAGGTTTTAATAGTACGTATCAAGGAAATGCAAAGGTTTTGCTTTTCTATGGGCATTTTAGAATGGGATATGACAATTCTGAAGTTTTATTCTATACTGTATCATACATGGAATAATTAACTCCACGTACTTGGGTATAAGAAGAGGTGGAAATATGAATCTTTAATTCTTGATTGGTGAAAACGTGCCATAAATTCCCACAGTCACATACTGTGTTCCATCAGCAGTGTTCACACTATGGCCTTACAATTTACCCTTTTCTTATACATGCAGTGAGTTTGTAATACAATCAGATCTTATGACATATCACTGTGTATTTCACTACAGCTACTGCTCCCCAGTGAAGTCTCTAGTCATGAAAGAGAGAAACTGAAGGGCAATTAAAACCCCTACTTATTTGGTGCATTTGAAAATAACTATTACACCTGTTGTCATTCTCTTTATGTTTCTGTGTATCTGTCCAGAACTGGTGTGTTAAAAATATGTAACTTTAATACTGACATTCTAGAGAGTTAAAGAAGTTTAATCCAAAATTCTTTATTTCACTTGGGCAAAACAATTGGTCCTACTACACTCAGTTAGTTGTTTACATACGATTTGTTTTTCATTGTGATAATTTCCACAGTATATAGTAGTACAAAGCCTTAATTTGTAATGTTCTATGCTGTTATTATCAGTCTAGGAGTTGTGATTGCTGAGCCTAAAGCACAGCTAAAACTCAAAACACCAGCATAACTGCTGTGTGAAATTAGAAGTATGAACACTAATGAAAAGAAACAAGAGGTTTAGACTTTCTAGAATCACCATACTCGTTTAATTCCTAAATGTCCTAAATGTCTGAATTATTGCATTAGTATACTTCAGAATCAGAGGTCCTGCACTGATATAAAACACACATTAGAACGAGGAGGCAGATTGGATTGTTCACAGGAGTAATCTGTCACAGCACCGGATACCAGCTCCAACCAGACAAGTAAAAAGGATGTAGTCACTGTTCCATTAAAGCCAAAAGTTTGGTTAGAGGGAATGGCATGAATGGTGTGAGTCAGTGTCTGCCCCAATTACTGCCTGTCTCATGCCTGCACCCGTATCAGTGCAGCAAGCATGCCAATAGGGATCCTAAGGAAACATAGTTTAGAAGAACAGAATTTGTGCTGAAAATACTCTTTGTAATTGCACATTCTCATTGTACATTTCAGGATTGTTGATTAAAAAAATTATGAATAGTTTTTACTGCCAGCTGTCATTGCAGAAAAGCAGAGAGATTGGTTGGGGAAGTCAGAAGTCCTCCAACATGTATGTATCTTATGGATCATCGAGGAATAGCCACAGTGGTGATCCCTCTTTTCTGGAAATGAATTAATGTAATCTTCTGTGCACCAATGACATGTTTATTTGGGAAGACAGTAAAATATATTAGAACTTCACCATTAGTAAATTTTATGATTAATAAATTGTATCAGGTGAAGCAGGAAGCACTTTGTTGGATCTTTTATGATTTTGGTTACTCTCAACAGCAAATTTTCTTAAAATTTATCAGTTTTTTTAAGCTTGTGCTATAGAAAGTATAAAACATGCTTAATAGATGAAAGGCCACTAGTTGAATGAGACTCATAAGAATTTACCAGTAAAATAAATTAAAACTTTAAATGTTATAATATAAATCCATCATAGAGCCAAAGTAAAGGCTAGATTTTTTTTTTTTTTTTCTTTTTTTTTGCTTTGATCCTAATTCCATATTAGGGATCATTCATAAAGCAATCAAAGTCAAACATAGAAATGCACAGTTCTCCCTTTAGAAGTTCAAATTCATTATGAGGGCAGGAAAGTCAAAGCTCTGCCTGATCCTCTTCTCTGCATGCCTCCTAGTTTTGCCAAGGAAGTGCACAATAACTGTTGACTCCAAATGGGCAAAAGTAGGAAGTCCAATTAGTCTGCAAAGAGATGGCCATTCCTTTGTAGTCTAATTGACACTGGATATACTTCAACATATTCATACACTCCCACTTTTTAAAAAAGGTGCTTTGTAAAACTCTGGCACGCTTACATCCTGTTTCTTTCATAACGCATCATACTGTGGTCAGAAGTACTGCTATTGGATACCAATCAGAGCAGCTTCCAAGATAAAATTAATACATACTTAAATCTTGTTTTCAAAAAAATTGTTTGAAAGCAATTAGTCTAAACTAAAGACAAACAAACAAACAAAACAAAAATCCCCAAACAAGAAAAGCAGCACACCTGTTGAATAGATAAATCCTCTCTATAGAGAACAGGCAGCAGTTCCATAGGATAATGACAGCTAAAATTATGCAAAGCTCAGGGATGCTATTTGACACAATGGCCTGCTTTGAACTCTCCCTCCTAGATTCACGTACCCTCAGATTTTGTTATCCAAGAGTCTTCCAAAAGACAAAGCAAAACCCAATCAAAATGGAGCCTGCATTGCAAAATACCGATCCATGGTCTTTCCCCCCAAACTAGTGTTGGTTCACTGGATTGTCATTTTGGCAAATCTAGTCAAGTTTCACATCCAAAACTGTAATGAGAGAAAATAAACAAAGATGTATCCTGTTGAGAAATAACACATTTAAAATTATAGTGGAAGGCACAAGTGAAAAAACAGTATTGGCCAATGTGGAATAAGGCTATTTAAAGAACCCCAAGCAACAAACAACCAACTCCCCGCCCATATATGAAGTGATGCAATTTTCTCCTTGCAGTTTACAAATTGCTTGTTTTGTATAAGATACTCAAGAAAAATACTGTAAAGAGAAAAAAAAATAACCTTTGGTTAGTTTGCTGACTTTTAGAAGTTGGCCAAATACAGAAATAAGTGAGTCCCTCCATCAAGACCTAGGCTGCTTTGAATAAGAATCTGGAACAAAAAGTGAGAAGTTGGGGAAACCTGTATCCCAGAAAAAAAAAAAAAAGGGGAAATTCTGTGGCATACCAACAATGTCACGGCACAGGCAGAACACTGTGCTCTCCAGAAGTGCCCAGATAGGAGTATGCCAGCTGGTAGTTACAAATTCCATTCCCAAGTAAATCTCAAAAGTAGCAGATACAGGTACAGGTAGATCTGACAGAGAAAAACCTTAATTTTATATCTATCTATCTATCTATCTATATATATATATAGTTCTTTTTACACCACGTGCTCCACAGATACTAGACCCTGGTATTGTAAAGGAAATGGACAAAATCATGACAATAATCGATGACATTTAGTCTGTATAAACTTTGAACGCGTGTTAAAATATTTTAGGAGCACAGTTTAGTAGCTAAAATCTTCACAACAAATTAAGTCTTCAAGCTCTGAACTGATTTATTTTAAGAGTATTTGTTGGTTTAGTCATCTTTGCTTCCACTTAAGGCAATCAGGATGTAAGTTTATACTCAACCCCCCCTTCTTTTCCGCTCTTCTCTTTTACATGCTCTGCAATCACGTCACCAAAGAACATCTGTCCCTTCTGCATGAACCTATAGTTCCTGTAGAGATTATATGGGTTCATGGAAATCATGCTTGCAGCAATGCATAAAACAGCATACATATGTATGAGTGTGCTCCATCTCAAGAGAACAAAGCAAGCCATTCCCCAGCAAGTCACGCAATTTTGATGACATAATGGTTTAAAAAAACCCCCTACTGACAAGCCTAAAGTACCTGCCATTACTGCTGCTACATTGGAAGGGTGGGATTTGGTTTCTTTTAAATTATTTACATGACTTGTTCATAAGGCATGGCAACCAACAAGCTGGCTGCATGCATGGAACAGTAATTGAAAGCAGTCACACAGCGGTAAACAGAATAAAAAGAATAATTTTTATTCCACATAAATAATCATATTGCATAATCTTTTCTGCAGAGAATTCCACATACTTAATGAAAGGTGCAATTATGTCCCCGTGGAAGGACTAATTTCATCATTTAAGTCAAAGATCTCTATGGCTCTAGATACCTCCTCCCAAAAGCAGAAAATCTGACCTCTTGACACTAAATTAGATATTAGAGAACCAGGCATTACTAAGCCAGAGATCAATGTTCATATACTGAATTTTATTATCTTTCTCTTCACGTAGAACTGCACCAGGTAATTTTCTTCTCTCCCTGCCTATTTTGATAACACTAATTTGAATTTGTGGTGCCAAGAACGGGAATCAATGACGAAGTATTTATTTGCATTCAACAGCTGAATGCTTGCAAAAAATTCCAGGGTAATCATGTAGCACACTGGCTTGTTTGTGAATGCTGTAATAGAGGTTATGAATCTGCATTCAGTGGCAAATCTAGCATTTAAAGATATATCAGATAGAAATGGATATGCTATGTTTAAATGTTTATGAGGCAAAATGCAAATCAGCAAACACTTCCCAAACTTTTTAATTTGCCTCTGCCTGGTCTAAAATACAATACAAAGTACAAGAGTAGTTTTTAACATAGTAAAAACTCTGAATAAAAAAGGTCTCTGCAAATCTCTCATTCTGGACAATCAAATGAATCAATGGTGTAATCCATTAAGAAAAATACTTGAAGGATGAGTGAATTTTGTTGGGGTAGTTTCCTTTCCCACTTCTAGCCTCTCTTACATTTTACTACTGTGAGACTTCAAAAATATAAAATCTTGGCTTCAATTATATCTTGCCAGAAACAAGTATTAATTGCATTAGAAACTGTAATTTCTTTTATACTAACAAGAATGATGCCCACACAGAATAAAAACAGAACCTCACAGTATTGAAATAAGCACACTTCTCCCCAAACACTCATAGCAATAAAGACGTAGGCAGTTAAATTTTGAACATTTGTTTTATTTTAGAATCTGGGTTCGTTTTTCCTTTCTTCCATCCACCTCTCTGTGGAAATTTTTGTGCGAAATGTGCTTTCCAAATAAAGTCCTTTTACTGGGCGCTGCCCAGAGCATAAGCTGGAAAAAAGGATAAATATGAACAGTCACCCTAAATTTTCTATTATTTTCTATTTTTTATGTACATAACTTTGTAATTTACATTGCATTTTTCATGAACAATATATACTATGATCATTTTAGCGATGAAAAGGTGTCTTAAAAATTTATGAGAGATTAGTTACCTATAACTAATTCCCTCTAAGATGTATTACCTACAGATATAGCAGTGTTAACTAGTGAACTTCTGCTTTCAGTGATCTCTTCCACTCCTTTTCAGTGGTACATTTCCAGCAGCATCTGCCCCACTGTCATCCCTGGTTCTATCTCCTCCCATATCACCTCATCACAGTCTACTGAGAGGACCTCTGCAACAAAACTGCCAATTGCTTACAGACAAAGCCAAGAAGACAACCTGGATGAATTTCTATAAACAGAAATTCTGATTCTATTGGTAAGTCTTACAAGGGAATGGGAGTCTCATAGGATGAGTTCTAGAAGAGAAAAAAAAGAATGAGAGTTCAAATGTAGCAAAGAAAAACTGTTTCATAATTTTAAAGCATGTTTGAGGTTATCAGCTGTCAAACACTGGAGATAAATGGCATCTAAAATGACATTAGGTCTAAGTCGTAACACAGAGAGAATTAACAATTTTAATTGCATTCCACAAAAAGATCAGATTTACTATTTTTTAGAGTGGAAAGAGGTACCCTAGTGACACAAAGTATAAAGCAGCTATCCTTATCAAAATGACCAGTTCATGATGCAGATTCTAAACATTTCTCACTGCAGGATAAATTTTCTTCAGGAATCAAGACACACACAACAGATATTAATCCATGTCCTCTGGCATCCTCCTGGGAGGCCCAAGGACTGGCATGACACCACCTCTGTGCCAAATCCCAGAAGAAATTATTTAGTGAGTCTTCAAATGTTATGAAGTGCTTGACAGTTCCACCACAAAGCCACTCAGTTCTTGTTTCTTTACTGGTTTTAAAGGCTGCAGTAGACAAGGTGGCTACTGTGTTTGGTCACATGAACAAATCAACCCTCTTCTGCAGTCTTTTGTACTTTTTGTCAGAGTTCCTAGATATTTGAGTATAATGGCAGGTACGCTGAACTTAGCCAATGAGTGACACCAAAAGTCACCGAGACCTTTGGAGTGATGATGGAGGAACCTACCAAGATATAGGTTGATTCAACGCACTATCTTTGCAAAGTACTTCTGCCAGTTGCTTGTCAAAATCTCAAGAAAGTACTTTAAATCTAAATCTTAACAGACAAAAAGTTTCAGAAAAACGGCTTAAAAAATATGCCAGTAATAAAGATTCTGAGGTTAGAACTTCTAGTCTGGAGAACTACCAGCATACCACACCTGGATCCATTAATGCCATTATCACTGTTTCAGATGTATTTTACTCAACAAACGAAGCTTTCTACCTGAACACAGCAAACACTTATGTATATGAGTACTCTTATTGTCGCAATAGGACCATTCACATGAGTGAAGTTACTCAGGCAAATAAGTGTAAGATAAAGGCCAGATGTGTGTGGTTACTATTATCAAATGGCTGCTGAGCTTAAGTGCAGCAGTTATGAGTACCTGCATGCCTGATTTACAAATAGAGATTTAATATCTACACTGAATAAAGTATTTTTCCCAAGACTGTGCTGATACACTTGATTAACTTCAGCACAGAAGAAATATTTGCTGTTTGTTGCAACAGCTTACAGAGATTTCAGTATGGGTTTGTTCCCACAAAGCTGTATTCACACCAAAAGATACAGCCTCTATTTTGAGCAGTGCCATATTTTGATGCTATACATCTCAACTTTTGAGAAACTTTTCATATTGCAAATTTAAAAGGTGTCTGCATTGAGAAACATGCAAACTGTGGATATTCTTTCACAATCACAAGCAAACATACATTAGGTATTGAATTAATACAAACTAGAAATATCTCTTCATTCTACCCCACACTTTATCCACAAAATGCTTACAATGTTTCATAGCAAACATTAGGCTTAATAAAGATGAAACTGTCTATCACTGGAAAACACTGGGAGAGATAGGGTTATCACAGTGTCTCAAGTGTTGCAATACCTTTTCTAATAGTTACATTTCCAGGTATTTTGGGTGATGGACAATTACTCAAGGTCGAGCAGAAGCCAGAAAAATCTTCCCAAAGCTCATCAACTTGACAAATGGGAATTTTAACATTAGAATCACTACAATCAAATCCTTAATTTATCAAGCTGTCTTAAAATAAATTAATGCTTTGTCCCTAATGCCATAAGAAAGCCATTCTGTAACTATAGTTTTGGGGTTTTTTTCGATAAATAAGATTTTCATCATCTCAGTAGCCCTTCTTTGCATCTGGTACTGGTAAATAACTTTCATCAACAATGATCAGAATCAAACCCAAGACTGTTAAGTGACAGTGTACTTACTCTCTGTACTTATACATTCTCATCCAACGCACCCTACGTTCTCATTACTCTGCTGTACTAGGTAAAGCTGATCAGAATTGCTTCAGCTTACAGTATCCTAATTTTTATTTAAAAAATACTCTCTTGTTAAAACCAAAGTGAATGACTTTGTATTTTGTTTTCAGTTTTACTCCGTTCTAGTCCTTCAGTCAAAGTCATAGAATTTTCTCCAGTTCCCTGCACGTCTTGCAATACTTCCCAACTTCATCTCATCCACAAATTACATGTGACTTAGATGGTGACCTCAACCCACGTCACTGATACATTAAACAGGACGTGTCCTTAGGCTGATCTCTCTCCATTTCCATTCCGAAAATAATTTATAATTTACTGCAATCTCTTTTCCCACCAGCTTAAATCCATCTTTCAATTCTTATGTTCATCTATTTCAACCTAAGTATTTTTAGAGCCTTATGTCAAGCATTACTTTAATTTGAATAAACTAAATCACATTAATTTTCTAAAAAGTGACTGTTCCAAACCACCTGGGATGAGAGGTAGAACAAAAGGGCAAGAAGAAACATACTATATACTATCATACTCATGTTTGAACTTTCAAGACTTCTGTTCACAATCTGAAGTAAGCTTTTTCTTAGCCTTGTGGTTAAACTAACAGGTCTGAAGTTGATCACAGGTTTCTTTTTTTTTTTTAAATACAATTGCTTCATTCCATTCAAAGATCTTATTATGGCACTAATACTTATTTGAGTATTGTAGAATGGGGGTTATGTTGGATTTCTGATGAATCCAACATTTTAACATTTGAACTAGATACTACTCTATATAAATAGTTGCCTGTCACTTCCAACTATATTGTTTCCATATCTCAGATCTCATTCCTGCCCACTGTCCCTCAAATTATATTATCAAGGTTTTTTTTCCATTTCTTCCATTTTCATGATAAATCTTCTCACTACAAATTAATACCTACTCTGCCTCTCCTAAAAACTCTATTTATTTTGGGAACTTGTTATAATAATCAGCCCTTCTCCAGTTGTTATTTTTCAGAACTACAAAAATCCTGACTATATAAAGAAGTGTTAAATCTAAAGAAGCCCACTTTACAAATGGGTTAACTGAGACAAAGAAAAGTTGACAATTGCACCAACTGCTTAGCTGGAGATCTACAAACTCCTAGAGATTAGTTTGTTGGGCTCTGACTTGGAATATGGCCCTGAGTAGTTAATTTCCATATACCCTTCTTTAGATATTGTAGTCATACTGCTGTCAAAGAGCCTCTGAACCTCAGAAGGAGAGTACAATCACTTCCTTTTTCATTATATCACCTACCGACTAAAACCCAGACCAGATAATCTTTGCAAATTATCCGAGAATGTCTAAACATGTGCACTATCACTCATACTTAGCATTGTATTCAAGTTAAGCAACCTCCCCTCTAGCTATGAGAGCACCACAGATTAAATACAGACGCTGAAAATGGGGAGGCAATCACAACAGGAAGGAAAGCACGAAATCAGCAGACAGCATTTTAAAGCAAACATGGATTTCTGCAGTTCTCTGCAGATACCATGCAGTTACTTACACAAGCTCCCAGGTTTTCCAAAAGGGCCACATCAAGTCAATTTTAATTATTTGATAAATATGACACATTTAATAAGCACAGATTCCAAAGATGAGAGGATCTGCTCCTCTCCAACTTCAGAATGCTGTCAACCTGTATTTTGTTTTTGTTTCCCTTTTAGAGCTAGACTTAGTCTCTACTATAATTTCATCAAGTAGGAAAACTTTCTCCTGTGCTACAACTCACATTTTTCCCAGTCTGCATTAAAAAAAAAGTATGGTTTTTTTCTTGTCATTCTAGTGCTCCTCTCCATCTCTCCTATCTTCTTGTAATCTTCAGCCTTTTTTTCGCCTCTCTTTCAAGGTTCTAAACAAATCAGACAACAACTCTAACCTCATTCCAATCACTGCCCTGCTCCATTCTCACATGGGATTTTAAGCATTTCTTCTATTTTCTTCTGCAATCATTTCTGCACCCCTTCTCATTCTGTGTAGAATGTGATTTGTTTTTCTCTTCTCTCTTTCAAGTTTGTTTTCAATGCTCTTATTTACAAGTTTGCTATTCTGAGATCATTTAGGGTATTACAATGTTTATGATCAGAGTGTGTTCCAATACTCTTGTAAGCCAAAGAAAGCTCTGCTGGCAGCATTAATACTCTTTTCTCATTGATAGTGAAATATCTAATGCAAATTCATATTTTCTCCAGTTCTGTTACTACAGTTGTGCACTGAAAGGTGGTGATGCAGTAAGAAAAAAGTATTGCTCCTTTTTCCCAACAAACTTGGTTAAAATTCCAGCATTAAAAAGAGGTACTCTGAGGTGATTGTGAAGAACAGTTGCTGTTAGTATCAGGTTGCACTGGTGGTTTAGAAACTTGGCATCAAAAACCAGGTTTTCCTAATCCAGATATCCTGGCTCAGGCTCCAATTCCATAAACTGCACAACAAAGGACATTTTAAAAGAAAGCAAGAATTATACTTTATAAGCATGGGCACTTTACAATCTCAATCCAAACATTACCACAAAGACTTTACAAAAACAGAAGCCGTATTTGTTCTTTAGTAAATCTAACTTGCTCTAAATTTGTATTCTCATTCTTTTTGTATCAAGCTCCTATTTTACTGTTGAAAAAGGAGAAAATCAAAGATCATTTATTTGGAATACCACAAAATTAAATGCTAGCTTTTGGTCCTATGCTAGTACATTTAAAACCTCACATTAAGAACAACATTTGTAAGCACTGTCTACACATTAGGTAGTAATTATGGTTTTTGGAAGGCATTCCTATAGCTCACCATTGAATTTACATGCATTATATTATATATGCACAGACGTGTCTGCACACACACCACCTCCACCCCCAAATTCTACTTCAGACAGCAAGTTTCTCTGTTGTTAATTTTTCATGGGTCAGTATTATATAGTCTCAAAAACGACAATTACAATCACATGCTGGAATGTGATCATACTTAAGTCTATGCTTCTGAAACTTCACTTACAAAGGACATCATTAAAAATTCCACCTAAAATTACTTCAACATTTTGAGATCACTGCCTCCAGTACTAGTAAATCCAATTCATGCATATTTGAAAAAGATCTCCACCATTTCATAAATGATCACCTGCTCCACAAGACACTTTTTCAGGAATCCAGAAGTGTAATATGGAACTTTCCCTGGAGAGAAGTACAAAGAACTGCAAAAACATAAAGTCTTTTAAGTACCAAACATTGAACAGATTTACTAAAACTCTAGCTTACACAAGCAGCAAAACCAAACATGGAGTATCTGACAGAAAATGCCTCCTTCTCCTTTCTTAAGTAAGAATGAGAAGATTGAGAACTCACAATTCAAAAGAGAATGGCCAACAAGCATGTAGGTGGTAATCACACTGAACAGGAGAGCTGTTGACTGTGGTATGGAACAAAATCAGCACTCTCCTTTATTTAAAACTGTACTTGTATATTTTGGGAATCAGTCAGGAGAAGCTATGGGTTGAAACTTTATCACTCAGAGCAACCGTAAAATCAATCAGTCAACACTTAAAAGCTCACACAATATTTTACAATTTTAAATTCCAGTGCCTACCACAAATTCCAATTTGGAATAATTACAGCCTAACATTGTCAAATATGTACACTTCTTGAGCAGTTCTACAACATCGGTTTGTACTTTGGGCTACCTGCTGTATTTAAAGCTGTCCCGGAGGCTATACTTAATGGAATGGAAATGTTTTGCTATAATTTACTTTCGGCATCAGTCTGGATGATAAATATTCAGTCTGTTACATCAAACATTAGCAGCTTAAAGACTGAATTTCAAACATGGTTTCATGAACTGTTATAAAACTTCTCAACTGAAAAATAAATGATCAGAGCAAAAGTATTTTATGCAAAATAAAACTCCATATGCTAAGTCAAGTATTGTTGTCTGAAGGTCGGTATTAGGATATGTTAACATATTACATAATATTTCATACAGTATATCTTCTAAACATTAATTTATTTTCAGAAAGAATGACCTGATAGCTTCTTTAAGGAATTCTGAAACTTTTGTACTAGTATTTTTATATCCATTTCCCTCACGAACATTTACTTTACTTCTTTCTAAGCAGAAAAATGTTGGCAGATTTGTAAATGATCATTCAAGAAAATTGCTTATGACTTTTACATTGCTTATTGCTGTTTTACTGATGACTCCCTGATTTCCTAGAGAATCAAGACGTTCAATATAATCATGGCCAACAGACAATACTTTATACAGCTTAAGAAATACCTAAATTTTCATTTTCAATCTTCTTAGTTATGTACATCCATTTCACAACACTGAATCACCAAAAAAAAAAAATTCCATTTTAATTTAAAAGCCTCAAATAAATACAACACTATATCATAGCTTGCTTATTTTTGCATGTCATATAAAAGTCCCAAAGACTTTTTAATTATTTTATAAATAGAAACAGGAAAACTGAATTTCCTCCTACAAATGCTGGAGACTGATGCTGGTACTAGAAAACAGTAGTATGATCCTCAAGTGAAAGTTAATTTTTTTTTTTTTACAGCAATGCTGAATGGATTTCACAGCAATGCAACAGTGTAAAAGAACAATAATATACATAGAATAATTTGCAGTAATTCAGTTTACTACTGATGTGAGGGATCTATCTTGCATGAAGCACTGTACAAAACACAGAGTTATTGCTCAGGTCTGTAGAATTACTGTTAAAAAAGCTTCAGGTGGTTTTATTCTAAGTTTCCCACAACAATTAGAATCTAACCCAATTCACTGTCCAGATTAGCATGCTATACCAGATCAGAAAGCAACACAAAAAATACCATGTTTTATCTATTAAATCTCAGTCAACTAAAGTGTTTAAGCATACATTTACAAGTTTCACATTACCCCTTTAAAATCTGCTGCCAAAGATTCTACACTCTTAAAAGGGTACAACCAGCTAAACTTTAATGTATACTTATGTTTGATTTTCTTTTCCTCATCTTTTTGCTTTGAATATAACTTATTTTAGTCACTGCAAAGCAGTACAGCTTGGAAAGAAAGACAGATCAGATAAAATGTCATTTAAATTATTATATGAATCAGACATGCTTTATGTTGTACTCAATTATTGTGTCATGCCAGTTAAAAGACTGCTTATTCTTTCTTTTAAACATCATGGAGGGACTTTTAACAATCAAGAGCTCTATAATGGCAAGGGCAGACCTCATAAAGACTCAAAATCCAGTTTCCAAGATATTTTAATTAAATCCCAAGTCCAAAAAGTCTCCACAACAAAGCAGACAGGAAAAATATTAGTTGAAAATATGAAACTCTATGACACTAATACCAGAGACAAACCTATACTGCTTTAATGGTTGAAGAACAAGCTTTTTTTTTCAGCCTCTTAAAAAGATGGAATGAAGTAAATGAAGTAAATCTCCTTAAAAGTTCATGTTGTTTAGAACCTCTGCCTCCGGTTTCAGGATCATTGCTGATAAATATTAGTCATTGTTGATAAATATTAGTACTTTCTCCTAATTACCCATAGACATACAAAATTGTGAAGTGTTCACACAGAAGGAGCAAAAACCAATAATCAAGAATACATGTTGCAATCCATGCAGCCGTAGGGGATTAGGTTGGAACACATCAAAATTACTCGCTCTGAAGTAACAAGAGATGTTTTTTCCAGCACATTTTAAAATGAAATGCAAAGGTACTCAAGTCTCCTTCAACCTTGGTTTATGTCTCAGGTAATACAAATACTGAAATTATTTATATACAGAACAAAATTCTTCCCATTGTGGATCTGTCAGCCTTCTCACATGCTCTCATTTAGGAGGAAAGCACTAATCTTAGTTACCATTTTAAAGCTATTATACTCATTAAATAATTGTTTGGAATTAAATTGTTTGAAATAAAACAAGAGTAAGAATTTTAACAGAACATCCTAATTCTCAAGCCTTTTACAGTCAGCATTTTCCCATTCTGATAATCTAAATACTGAAAGTATTCTAACTCTTGCACAGTGTTCACAGTACTTTCTTCAGTATTTTGCTTACAACAAGCCACTACATTCATGTTTCTAGCTCCACTGTCTGCAAGATGAAAACAGAGATTCCTACTGTACCATTAATTGCTAATTAGGCAGGTTTCATTGTCCTGGGTGACGGAATTGAGAATTTCTCCACTTCCCTAACAGGTACAGTAATAAGATGTTAGTCTTTTAAGGAAAAGATGAATCTGTTGAATAAAGGCTTCATTCTCTGCCTGTAATTAGTAACTTGAGGGCTTTCTGTAGGTTCTGCACAGCAGTGCTCACATCTTCATATTGCAATGCACTGCCAGCATATTTGCAATACTTTTGAGCTCTGGCAAAGTCCTCTGGAGTCAAGCGGACTTCTCCTGCAAAAACATGAATATTACAAAGTTACTATAAAGGAAATCTGACTTAAGCTTCCTTTCTTATGATTTTTATGTTAGACTTATACTTGTGATAATATTATGAAAACCAGGATAATATTTGTGGTAGTGTTACAAAGCCCAAGCTATGGTATTTCTTCTGTTCTCTTTTCTTTCCATTCATATAAAGCTTAACTTCTTTGCTTTTGAAAAATATGAACACCTTTCTAAACACTGGTATTTGTGCAACCCAGTGCCTTTCAAAAGTAAGCCGATACCTTTGAGAAAGATGTGCTCTTCATCATAGGAGAGCTTTTAAACAACATTAACTGTCCTCATATTACAAACTGTGAGAAACAAGGACAGTGCTTTTTGTGTTTAGAATATAATTACTCTGCTTTCTTCTTCAGGAATAATACATTTGAGCCAGAATACAGTTAAAAACTGTTCCTTCGTCACTGGAATAACTTTTCAAAATGTAGAATTCCTCACGAGCATGTTTTCACACATTTTATATTTCTATTTTCCCAAATAATTTTTTTTTTTATGTTTCCAATTTTATGTAAGATGTCATTAAATGTGCCCATTTTTGTAATACTGGAGAACACTAGCAAAACATATCCTCATAATATAGTATAAACCATCTGTTACTTATTAATCAGAATATTTTCTTAACATAAGCTAAAATATTGAGAATTCTGCAGTGCTCAAACACATGCATTCAGTCTTCAAGAAAGCATAGTAGGGACTTAAGTCCTAACTGGGAGAAAATTTTATATATGAATAGCATCAGTGATGTGTGCATAAAATAAAGCACAGTTATGTTACTGTACCTCCTTCCACCCACAAATTCACTAGGAGTTTTAAGGCTAATCCCATGCCACTCCAATAACAAATGGACAAATTATAACCTTTACTCAGGTTCTTTCAGAACAATTTAACTGGTAAATGACGGATTTTTATAGACAAGAATAAATAATTATATGAAACACTAAAGATTATGTCTATATTTAATAATTTCCAACATAGTATTTTATAAGCAGTGAACAGATTTCGCAGATTAAGAGAAAATGCATTTTTAAATCCACCATAGATTTTATATAAAAATTGATTAAACAAAGATTTAATTCTCTGAGTACAATACTTTAAGCAACGACATGAATATAGTTAAATCCATTTTTATGGCACAACTTCAGTTAGCTGGATCCTTTCTTTCAAAAGAGAACTGTTGTTAGCAATACTGTGAGAACATTTACTAAAGAATCTCAGTTCTTATCAAAAAATGTCTATTGTATTTGCTTTTCCTTCCCCCAATCTTATTATTTAAGAACAGCTTTTGAACAAATAAAACAAAAAACCTGGGAATATTAAAAACTAGACTGGTCTGCTGGTTTTCAAAAAAACCCTACTCCAATAAAAAGCAAAAAGGTAAGTGCTCTTAAGTTTAATTTATCAATTTTTAAAAACTTTAGACTCTAAAGAGTCTACCTATCTTCCCTTCAGTAAATAATTATAACCATTGAGGGACATGAAAACTTGGTTGGGCTCATTGTCGTTGCACTGTATATTAGTTTACTGCTGAATAAGTGAAGACACATTAAATCTCTTAAAATACGTACGCATGTGAGTAAATAGAAATGAGGGAGTGCATAAAGACAGGCACACACTTTGGTTATTTTGTAGCCTACATAAAGTCACAGAGTAGAAGCAGCTGGGGTCAATCTCTAACCACATTACTGAACATCTTTAAGAAATTATAAAAGACTAAGTTCCCCTCAAAGTGGCTTTATGCTATGGTGCCAAGAGAAACTACAAAATCATTCTTTAAAAACTGGCCAAGGCATCAGTCCAGTATTCAACTAATTTATTGGAAGCAAGCCTAAATTCACCCGTCTAATCTTATTTTTACAGTATGAGCTCTATTAATGTTTTGCTGGCATAAAGCCTTATTTATTATGAAATCTACTTCAGATGCTATTATGACATAACTTGAGAGAAAAAAGTTAACAATTTTAAATTTATAAACCCAAGTTTACACAGTAAGGGTGTTGATCTTTTGATGTGCTCAGTAGCCTGAGCTCCTATTGAAATCAGCACCTCACAACGGACAAACAAAATAGAAATAAACCAGTTCTGTGTTCTTAAGTTTTCAAAATAATGTGAAACTTAATTGTAATGACTGCCTTACACGAAAGGTATAATCACAGAAGTGAGTTACCAACTTCAATCTACATATTCTAAGGATTAAGCAATTTTGCAGGAAAGGACCTGGGCGTACTGGTGGACACCAACTGTCCTTGAGCCAACAATCTGCCCTTGTGCTGAAGAGAGACAATGGCATCCTATGCTGGATTACAAAGAGTGTTGCCAGCAGGTTGAGGGAGGTGATCCTGTCCCTTGCAGGCCTAGAGAGGCTGCATCTGGAGTGCTGTGTCCAGTTCTGGGCTCCTCAGTGCAAGAAAGAGACTGACTGAAATCCTGGAGATAAGTCCAGCAAAGGGACACAAAGATGATTAAGGGAATGGAGCACCTCTCATATGAGAAGCGGTCAAGAGAGCTGGGACCATTCAGCCTAGAGAAGAGAGGGCTCAGAGGGATCTTATTAATGTATATAAATACCTGAAGGGGGAGTGTATAGAGGACAGAGCCAGGCTCTTTTCAGTGGTGCCTAGTGACAAGACCAGAGGTGTTGGGGCATAAACTGAAACACAGGAGGGTTGTGTCTGAACATCAGGAAAGTTTTTCTTGTGAGGGTAACCAAGCTCTGGGACAGGTTGCCCAGAGAGGCTGCAAAGTGCCTGTCCTTGGAGAAATTCAAAAGCTGCCTTTTGTATTAACAGTGACATTTTTCTCAGACTTCCTCCTTCAGTGCAGAAAATCAAACTACAGAGAGAGCACATGGGCAGGGGGAGACACAAAGGCCATGGTCCTGAGTGACCCATGGTCCTGAGTGACTGGTTTTACAGGACCCTTCCTTGAGCAGAGGGGTTGAACCAGACCACCTCCTGAAGTCCCTTCCAACCGATGTGATTCTGAGCTCTAAAACAAGACCAAGATGAGAAAAGTATACTTTTATACATAATCCTGAAACAAACCTGCTTCTGTGTTAATCTGGAATTACTAGCACAGTAGTTACACTACTGAAACGTGAAAGGCATATGGAATCCATAACAAGTATGATTCTTTTAGTTTAAGAAAAACACAAAGTGAAAAGTGAAAATGATTTGACCAAAACTGCTGAAAATCCTGTTGGGAAAAAAGCAGTTTTAGAATGAAAGCAGTATGTTTTACATGATATATCTGCCTCTCCCTAGTGTCCTTTTCTACCAATCAGATGTTTTTCTTTTTTATGATGTCCAAATATAAGGCAGTGTCGTGGTTTTGCTTTGGGTCAATTTACTTTCACACTTCCCACAGAATTACTTTAAGTTGAGAGAAGTTTTATGCAGACAAAAGAGACCTGATTTAGGAAAATAATATGAGCATTTACTACTAGCAAAATAAAAACTATTAAAGAACTATATCTATTATAATTCTACTTAAGTAAAAGTACTATGTATTTACAGAACTACTTCTCCCCGCTTTATATCAGTCCAACGAGGAGAAGCAGTTTCTTTCTCTATTCTCGGAGCTCCAGGTCTCTTCAGTAACTCTGTAACTCTGTAGCACTCTCGTCGCAGCTGGAACTCTTTCCCTCTTGCCCTGTGTTGGCCTCCAGGGCTGGGCCTACTCCCCTCCTGGGCTAAGACAAGGTTTTCTCTTCCATGGGCTTGCAAGGGGACACTTGCTTACCATGAACCTTCACCACAGGGTCACAGGGGATAATGGTTTTTGAGTTCACCCCTGTTTCCTATGGAGGTCCCTCCCCACGGGAGAACAGTCCTTGAATAGACCTCTCCTACATGGGTCTAGCATGGATCCCTCAGTTGGATCTCAAGCTTACCCAAGCCGTTCTCACTCTGGCGTAAGCCTTTCTCTCAGGGTCATAAATCTTCAGCAGCAGCATGGATCCCACACATGGATCCCAACATCCCTACCCGAGCCATTCTTGCTCCAGTGTAGGTTCTCTCAGGGTCACAAATCTCCAGTACCAGCAGCATGGATCTCTCACTGAGATCCCAAGCTTACCCGAGCTGTTCTCACTCCGGTATAAGCTCTCAGGGTCATAAATCTTCAACAGGACTCTGCCTCATTTTAGTCCTTCTCATGAAGTCTTGGCTTCCTTGTACATCCACAAGCTCCTTTGTGAGCTGCATGGGGGTCTCCTCACCCCAACAATCTTCCAAAGGTAGCAGGGTTTTATTTTTCAGTCTTTTCCTTGCTGAAGAGAGAGAACGAAAGGAGGGAGAAACAGCCCCCTGCCTTTGGACTTTTTTCTCTCTCCTCCGGCTGCCAGCTTCGACCTTGGACACTTTGTTATCTCTTTGCCGGAATTCTTCTGCAGTGGTTTTTCGTCCAAGCAGTCAGTCCTCTAAGTTTTTTTTTTCTCTACTCCATTATAGGAGAGAAGGGGGGCTTCAGCACCACACCTGCCCCCGGCCCAGGCCAGGGGAGGAGGGGGCCTTGGCCCACTCGGGCCCTGCCTCCTTTCCTATATGGCTACCAATTTCAACTACGCAACCAGCTTCTCTTCCATTTCCTTAAATATGTAATTAGCAAAAGCATTACTGAGAGTTTTGATTGGCTTTTTGTCCGGAAATCCACCTGGACAAAACCATCCTCAGCCCCAGGGGCTGGCTGGCTTGGCAAAACCACGACAGGTAGTTGATTTAAGAATATTTCAATCACACAAACTGGTGCATAAAAACAGGGATGACAAAGGTAATAAACAGTTTTTGAAACAAGATTCCCTTTTTCCCCATTAAAGCACTTGAAATATTCGAAAGGAATGTGCATGAAAGCACATTCAATGTCAAATTATTATTTCTACATTATAATACACACAACTAGATTGGACAAATGCATTCTCTATACTATGCCACTTTTGGAAGGGAGCATATGACAAGATCTTATAAGATCTGTAGATCTTATAGAGCTCTATATAAAAGATCTTACAAAAACTGTGTAGCACAACTATGAATGCATGTAGTGTTAGCAGAATCTAGGGGTAATAAATTTTTAAAGAAAAATACGCCAGAGAAGTGCACACAGACACACACAGAGAGTTGCTGTGTAGCTCTACACGCTGTTGTCAGACTCATTAACCAGTAATTAAATGCAAAAGTTTTGACACTTCAAAAGTCAATGTTAAACTCTGAAACCTGTTCCCACAGGACAGGACAACTATTCAAAGACTCATGCTGACTAAAAATCAAAGAACACTTCCTTTAACTTAATTCTTCTGATAAAATATTCTACTCCTTGCCACCAAAACTTTTTCTCCCATCACAGCATTAATCAAATTGCTTCTCCCATGTTATGGGAAGGAAAGAAAATATATAATTTATTCTAAAAATATACATTTCATCTTACTACCAGTAAGAGTCTTTCAGGACTATGTGGAATATCCTGTTTGGCTATGTCTATACTAGCACATTCAACAGTGCCAAAGAACGCGTCTCAGCACTCAAACTTGACTGTCTACAGTGTCAACCTGCTGGAACAGGCTCTGGTATGGTTTTGGCCCATGTGAACTAGCACTTTCCCAAACAATTCCTGGACATGACTTGTGGTCAGAGCAAGCTACAGACCGTTCAATACGAGTTTTCCTCTAAAGCTACCTTGTTTAGAAGGTTTAAAAGTTTCATAGTATGGATGTGAGTGGTTCTGTGCCAGCTGTTCTCCATGCCAAATATTTATAGGCGTGTATAATTTGTTAGTGTAGACACAGACACCGTGTCTAAATCATGGAGCAAGCGTACTTTGCACTGTGCTAGCTCTATGGATCTATTGGAGGGCAACACTGACTCTTTCTTCCTGTGCAAAGGAAACTTCAGTTCCATAGGAATAGTACATACGCAGCAAGGATCTAGCCCAAATATATATACTGCAACTCAGGAACTGCGAGGGGTTCCTGGATCCCAGAGTTTAGTACATCCCTTGAGAGATACAGGCATTTCTCAATCTACTTTTGGGTCAGAGAACAAGGCTACTGTGTAACAGCGTACTGTTGGCATGAAGGGGACTCCTCAGCAGCACGAGAAGAATGGTATCTGCCGTTCCTCTTATATATATAGCTGAGGGGAGGATGCTCTGAGCAATGACCAGGCACATACAACACGACAGTAACAGGCACAGACAAATGCTTTCTGTTGCTCTCAAGCTTTTTTAATTCTACACATTCAAATAAAACTGTCACTGCATCTCTGCTGACTCATGCTCTATGCCCTCTTGAACTCCTACATAACTGACAACCTATTCTCTAAGCTTTTAGAACTGAGGATCTATATGACCTGTATCACCTCTTCCAATGCACTTCTGCAAAACTCCCTCATAAGAATGTAAAGCTCTGAACTGTTCCAGGACCCAAACTTGTAGTGACACAATGGATGTGCACAGGAGGAATGCAGGCATGCAAATACTCAGGTTAGGTCAAGTTAAGAGATTTATCATGGTGCTTAGCAAGGGTCTTAGTCTCTTAATTACACAATATTACTTACTACGCATTCTCATAAACACACTCAATTCCTTTTGATTTATGTACTTATTAAAACAGGTTATCACAGGTAAGTGGTTAGAGGGAGCAATGAACTGATACCATTCAGATATTGAATAATATAAATATCTATTCCATAGATGGAAAAATTCCTAGAAAACAGTTAATAATTTGTCCAAATGTACACGAGTGTTGAAATAAGAATACAGAATGATTCCAGCTTTATTGTCAGTAACTACTCTTTCACTGGTTTCCCTAAGGTTGGCATTTAAGTGTACCCTTCAAAGCATGGTATATGCAAGTACACATAAAAATACGTGTGATATTATAGGTTATTAGTGATTTTAACATCAAAGGAAGATGGCATCTTAGAAGATAAAAGCCTTGATTCAATGGTACATCAAAATGACATGATTAGCAATGCCTTATAAATGATTTCATTTAACAAGGGTACTACTTGTAGTCGACAAGCACACATAAAAATTATGCTGCACCAAAACCACCACTGCAATGTTGTGATTATTTAATGAAGTGAATATATAACTGACACATTGACCCTGTAGAATAAATTCTAAGTAAAGAGAATGTGTATTAATGACCAAAAATATAATTTAGCAAGGCCATCAGGGAATACAGGCTTTGCTAGGTATATCAGAACCTCACCTGAGAAGTAAAAACATAAATAATAAAAAGCCTTACACAACGGTAGCTCATGGGTTCAAAATAGTCAGATAGACAACACTATCCATACATTGCAACAAAGCTTTCAGAAACTATTAAACTCTTAGCAAAAAAATGCCTAGGTGATGTCCATTCTTTTTAAAATTTTGGAATTAGTAGCATTCAGATAACAGTGACAATATTTCCCAAACTTCTTCCTGTAGTGCAGGGGAGACAAAAAGGACACAGTATGTCCATGTGTAAACAATACAAATGCCACCAGCTTACCTCCAGACTGAGCACTGTAAAGGGAAGGATCGACTAGAGGAATATTCTGAGGAGCAGGCTGAATGGTGTTACTTGTCACTCCTGCAAATCAATGTAAAAAAGATTGACTTGGGTTATTTTTACTCATAGGTTTTAAAAGCGAACAAACAAAATAGAACAGGTGAATCCAATGATTTTTAAATTCAGCAGCTGACAGCTTAATAATTCTGAAAATGTGTAAAAAATAATTTTAAAGCCCTCACTTCATACTATAAAAGTTTTATAAAATTATACAGAAGACTATACAGGCTGTCATCCATTTTATCAGTACAGGATTTCACAGAAATTTAATTACAAGCATAAAAAAATTAGGAAAACACTGCTCCAAGAAACACTGGTTATCCAAGAGCATTGAGGAAAACCTGCTAAAGAAGAGTGTGAGTTAACTTTTATATTTGACATTTAAATTCTACATTTCAATGTCAGAGACAGTCTCTATTACTTATTTTTAAAGCCCTATGCCTGTCATCTCACACTTGCAAACTATCTCCTTCCTAATTACTTCAAAAACAATTGATGAAAATAAAAAAGTTAGCTAGATTTAAAAGAGAAATGGTGATGCTAGAAGAAACAGCACTTCATGCTGTGAAACATTCTTGTATGTGTTCCCATTTTAGACACACTCATTTGCCTAGATCCAAAACTATGTTTTTGCAATATGTCCAGATCATAGCAGACTAACATGAAGTTATTTCTACAACATCTGCTATGTAAGAAGATGGTATAATCACTTTTCTAAATTATCTGTTACTGTATGGAATGATTGATGGGGTTAAAACTTGCAATGAAATTCATGTATTCCAACAAGATACATACTCCATAATTTTCAGATATGGTAAAAACAACACACTTTCCCTCCCAGACCCAAAAAAATCCCCACCTATCTGAAGGATTTCCCTTTGATAAAACTGAAAAAAGAGCATCATGAACTCTTCATAGGGTGAAGTATTTTTAAAATGAGAAAGTAAAAGGAGGGATAATATAACAATGTATCTAAACAATAAATGATCATTAGGATTGAAATCAAGAGCTTTCAAACTTTTAATCTTATTAATCACTAATCAATCATTATATTTTATGGTTACTATAAAAAGGTCCCATGAGGTAAAAAAGTTGTCTTCACCAATTCTTTAAGACAATTTTTTTTTTTTTTTTTTTAATACTGCAAATGGGAAGGAACTTTGGACTTTTATGAACTTGGTTTTGGTCCAAAAATGGCACATAATAAGAAAAAGGATGTAGGAGGCAATATGTTTAGCAGTAGGGATAAAATTCCCATTAATAATATTGTCTGAGGTCAATCACACTAAAGTACTTGCACAGGAAAAGGAGCACAAACCAAAAAGAAGGAAAGTATGAATGCTATATCAGGTACCATCGCTAAAGTGTTGTTGTAGCAATTTCAACATTTTGTTGGATATGCTCCCACATAAAGAACAACAGTCCATCTGCACAGGCAAAGCTAAATATGAAATGAAGTTACACAATTTGATCTATCAAGTGAAAGATTCAAACAGCCTTTATAATATAGATGTTGCAATGTAACATCATTTTACTAATTCTAGAGAAGACAAAAGATTCTGTCTGCAGGGACAGTCACTGCTTTAGTCCATAAATCTCTTCCAAAATATGAATTACACATTTTAAAAAACATAAAAAAGTATTCCCAATGGCATTTTTACAATGTTATCTTATGAAGATGCTTTTGCCACACAATACCTGCATTATTCTACTTTATATGTAATGGAAAGTGGACTAGAGTTTGTCTCTCAATAAAGGCAAGGATTTTTCAGGTGTGATTTGGACATACCTGTGTTATGAGGTACTTCAGCTGGAGTGTTGGCTGGTGCATGGGCACCTGGCGGTATATGTATGCCAGTGTAATTACTAGTTGGTGTGTTGTTAGCTTCATATGTAGATGATGATGCCGGTTGAGTTGTTCCACTATGGACAGAAGATGACCCCGCTTCTTCCCTTTCAACATCTGCTAAGATGACACAAAATAGGAATTACTGCAGCTGTTCTGTACAAACACTTGAAAACTCTGGCTTTCTTTAAAATCTCCATTTGAATTTTTATTAGTAAAAAAAATTGCCACCACACTGTCTCATAAAACATCAACTCAAGCCACCCACAGTTGATTTGACAAAATAAAAAAGCATCATACCATACAATAAAGATCTAGAAACTCACACACTTTCAAAGATCTCTCCTGTTCAAATTGAAGGATCATTTCATTACTGGCCTGAATATAAGCAATCTGTCTCATAAGAACAATCCCTTATATCTTCATGTACTGCATCCACAGTAGCTGAACAAGATGTACAAATATGCAGCAATCTATATTTTAATATATACATGAATCAGAATATGGAAAACTGTATTTGCCTTAAAAACTCTTCATAAAAAACTAGACAAGCCTTTTACCCCATACCAAGCCACAAAAAATACCAAAAAAGAGGAACTTCGGGAAAGTAATACCAAAAAAGAAAACTAAATGCAGCTTAGCTAAGTCATAACTGTATCTAGAACAGCTGGAGTACATAATGTTCTATAAAAACAATATATACCATAGTACATTACAAAGAACATATATATTATTTTTCAATCTCATCATGTTCTTAAGGTTTTGGTCTACTTTATTCAACGTTCGTTTAAAGGCTAGTGATCAATTTATTATACTAATGATCCAGTTAATTTACAACATGGTTGATTTCTGCTCCTTCATTTGAATTCAGTTAATTTAAACCAGTTAATTTTCTTTTACTGTGTATGCATTCCCCTGTATCAATAATTGTCATGGAACAAGTACAGTTTTGGGAATTGCTTATTTAACAGTCAGTTCTTGAACGGGAACAAAAAATATATACAGGAGTACAAAACTTAAATGTATGTAGAGCTACCAAAAGATGTTCTTTATGAAATCCATACTGGTCTTCAACTACACAAGGTTATGCATTATGCAAACACTTATACTGCTTAATAATTAAACCATCTACTGTTAGAAATATTACTATTACAAATATAAGAATTTTCCCCCTGTAAGACACTCTTCCTCACAGAAAAAACTTCAGGTGCTACCTTCACTAAACACCTTTTTGAGTCACAACACTATTTACCAAAATAAAAGGCTATAAAGCAGAGTAAAATCAACAGTATTGTCGTCAGAACATTTTTACTGGACTTTAATAAATACACTGTAGTTTTATTAAACTGTTTCTGACATATGCAAACAAACCTCTGGCAGACTTCTGGAAGACAAAGGGTATCTTAAGGAGCCAGATTTTTCCTTTCCTGTATTTTTTGCTAGTAACTCATACTGCAATATTGTGTGGTTAATACGCATGGAAATAAAATTAATGCCTAAAACTGGCAAAAAAACAAGAGGTGAGGTTCAAAAGTAAACACTGAATATCTTTTAAATAATATTGGAGTGATAGGAGTAATTTTAAATGCTGTATTTTTCAGTGGTTTTGTTGTTGACTAAAAAAAAAACCTGTTTCAGAAAAAAAAATTAACAGAAACATAGAGGCTTACTACACATAAGATGAATGAAATAGGTATGTACAACACTCATCATGCTGTCTGAAGGTAAGGCTGCCCAATATTACTTCTAACACTGCTACCAATTATTTATAGCTTGGTCAAATTGTACCCATAAAGTTAGCTCCTCCAAGTTGGGTGTCTGCATGAAGCTATTATTTCGGGAAGCCTGTTGTAAAAATAACTAAGCCACTTTTGAGAATGAGGTAGTGAGAGAAAACGTGGTTCCACTGTACTTCGTATCTCAACTACGAAAAATTACGAGAAATTTGTGCCCAGACTTAAACTGTTAATGCATTTATTCCTTTATTCTGCCCCCTGCAGCTTCCTGTTGCCCTTATCTGCTTTGCCAGTCCCATTCTGATTTCTCTTTCTGTGAAATAGGACTTCAAATCCCTGCAACCTTTGCCTCATACTTGTGTCTCTCTTGTAGTAACCCCATCTTATCTCCAAGACATTCTCAGTTTCAGCTTCAAAGTTCCTCACTGCATAGTTCAGGGTCTCGTCACTCCTATAACAGTGCAATGCTGTAGGCAGCACTGGCCATAGAAGACATGAACTCAAAAAAGTCTGAGAATGTTAAAACCAACCAAAAGAAGTGTTACCAGCGTTGACTACCCTTAATTACAGTGCCTTCAAAAGCTAAATTTACAAAACAGCAATCTACTTTTTAATCAGGTATACGTACCAAAAGATTAAGCTCAACTGTTTGATTTGCTCATTATGCAATTGGCCAGTGTTAAACTGTATTAAACATAAAAGAGGTTTGTTTAAATTAACTCTTCTTAGGTGTTTAAAGTGCCCAAATATCATCAAAGCACTGTAACTATTCTTTCTGCTAAGTAAATATTTAAAATACTCTTTATCAAAGATTAAAGAATTAGAAACATTTTAAGATATGCACTTGCAGTATTTGTGAATAGTTTTAACAGTAATGCCAAATAAAAGGATTTCACGCTGCTGAAAAAGAACATTTAAATCAACAAACTGTTTTTACATTCTGCAGTTGGAACACCCATAAGATTATTGAAAAAAAATCTTTTCCAGGGAATGGGAATGAACACTAAAAAAAGTTAGAGAATTATTTTCCCATAATGCAGTAAAAACCTAGAACTCAAAGTTCCTTGCAATTTGCTTAAAGATGCTGAAATACTAGGCTGTGAAACAGTGACACAATTGTTTTTCATGTCATTTCAGCTCCAGCTGAGTTTCTTGTCTTGGAACCTCATCAGCCTTTGTGCTTGAATCTCAGCATAATGAATCCATGAGCTCTTCATATTTTCTGCAAAGCTACAGTATACCAGACCATCTGCGTTTTTAAAATTATTATTTATTTATGGAAGGCAAGACTTTGTGAACTAAGACTGATATCTCTGGCCCCGTAACAAACTATCCAAAGATACCTTTGTATAAACAGAGGATTCTCAAGGCTTAACGGCATTTCCTTGTCTAGTGTAAGGAAGTACCAATTATGACTTAACTTCAGCAGCTTAGTGCACTAAATTTAAGACTAGACAAATTTTTATTTTTAAGGAATCCAGACTTCTCCAATTCTCCGGATTCCTATTTTTAATGAATTCAGAGAATTAAAATCTATCAATTTTAATTTTAAAATGCTTTCTTCTTCTCATTCTGCTGCATTGTTTCTCTTTTGCTTGAGATGTTGCTGTAAGATTCCTAATGTAAGGTTCTATTGGAACACTGATTTTTTAAAAAATATATATACATCTAATTTTTTTCCGCAACATTGAGAAATGAACTCAAAAGTGATGTTTCTTCCAGTTGGAACTAACAATGTTTTCTGAAATTCTGTAATATAAATGTAGACTACATATTACATATTACATATTGCAGTGTAAGCAATTACATTTAATTTATTTACTATGGCTATACTATAACCATTTAGAACTTTTAAATATTTCTATTTTTTTCCCATTAGTATAAAATCTTGCTGGATGACCTAGGGCAAATGCTAAGTAACCTTTATATGTACTCTAGGACTTGTATTCCAACTGCATTAATAAATTAAGCATGTTATTTTAAGGTTTCCAGTGGTGGCATCCTGACAAAAGTATCCATAAATCTAACAGCAGAACCACATAAAGCATGCCTATGTTGCTGTAAAAACATCTCCAAGAGTTACAGTAAGGTTTTCAAGAATCACAAAAAAAACCCCAACACTTTGGAAAAAAATGGTAATTCGTCAAGCTTCAGAGACTTAGCTTCACTCTGTTTAAACAGACTTTTTCCACTTGCTAGGGGAGGAAGAAAATGAGCAAGCAGAAAGGAATGGGGAAGGTCCAGTCATACATTCAAACAATGCTGTTTTTCTTCTTATGATGTACAAAGCAAGAATTGAAACTGTTTTTTACTGATTCTTCTCATAAAAATTATTTTGCATAAAGTTTTTGTCTTGCTTGTGTAAAACATTATGGACACCTACACTATGGAGTTAACTGTCAAAATAAATGTCAAAAAAGGTATTTTTCATTTAATTTCTCAGGAAATAAAAGTGTGAGAAATTATCTTTCTACATAAAATACAATTCAACAACAATATAAAAAGATATTGTCAAATTATAGATCTTGCAGGCTCCCTAGCAGTAAGGACGTTAAAATTTTGGCTCACTCAGCATTTGCATCCCTTTTAAGTTGCACGTAGATATAACTTGCTAATAAGAGTAAGAATCTTCACCAATTCACCTGTACTGAACTGCAGTGAATACTAAGGATTTGAGTAAAGCCCTGAATTCTACTTTCACTTCTACAACAGTTTCTTTTGCAGCCTTGAGCAAGTCAGTTATCTTTGCATTCCACATTAATAAAATGAAGAAAGAACCTATTTGTTGCTGCTGAGGAATAATTAACTTCTACACAAGTCGTGCAGATTTTTAGCAAAAGCTTTGTAATATTTACTTAGAAATTCTATTTTGCAGTTGTTTACAATTCACATTTGTTTCAGATAATCAGGTGAGCTTTACCACAATATGATCCAGACCCCTAAAGAGAATCTATTTAAAGCTAAAAATATTTAACTGAGTTATTCATTACATTCAATATAACAAAAGGCTGTTCTCTCACATGTTGCATTTTTCATTTAATCATCAAACTGGTGTAATTTGACAAAGATGTGATGATGTTTGCAGTGGGAGCTGCAACTTGCACTTGTAGAGGTGGCTACATAAGTTTTATGAACCTATGTATTAATATAGATGATTGATTTATTTATACTAGTGCGTGCATATGTACTAAGTCTCATATACTAGGTCAGAAGAAAACTTAAAATGTTTAATGTTCTAAGTTTTTTCATCATGTATGTAAAGAATGATACACAGAGGTTATTGTCATTATGCAGAATTAGTCTGTTGTAATCTGCACAGTGAAAATATCCATTCCAAAGACATCCTATCTCGTAAGAGATTAACCTTTGAAATTTGTATTCAATCTGTGTTGACTGAGGAGAAAAACAAAGAGACCTCTTATTAATAAAACTGATCACTATCAAAAGCAATTGGTTAAATGCCGAAAGAATTAAACATCCATAGAGCATTAAGGATAAGAAAAACTGCAATCAAAGGAAAAGCAAATGGGTAAAAATATTTTCAAAGTTAGTTTAATAAATTACATACAATTTCTGTTTTTATATATTTTAGAAATGAATAATTTTTGCATATATTTTGCTTTTAACTGAAAAACACGATCAGTTTACACACCTAATAATAATACTTTTTTCTGGCTTAGTAGTTTAACCAAAAAAGTTTTCCACATGATTTCACTTGACTTCACAAAAAACACACACGTATCTGTGAAGTTTGTGGATCCGTACATTAGAAATAGGGTAACATCTATAAGGATTAGAAATTAAAATATTGCAACTCTGATTTGATTGTTTAGTTACTTTTAGTAAATATACACATAATGAAAAAAGAGGACAGAACTGTCTTTCTCCGAAGAGATTTGGATGTGATCTATGTGATCCTGTAAGAGAGAGTTTGCTTAGTATGTGTTACTTTATAGAGAAGCTGGTCCATGTCTGCTCAAAGTGGTGTGTCTGTCTTTAAAAAGCTCTAAAAGAGAAAGTTTTGAATGTCCCTAACATTTCATACTGAAGAGCCAGGCCTTTTAAATTAGCAGTAATTTAGACAGGTCTGAGTGTATTTAACAGAAGGTAACTCAGGTAGCTCAGGTAGCCAGAGGACCACTGAAAACATGAGGAAAAGGTGGATGAATGAGAAAGAGGCAGGAAATCCAACTGAAAAAGAATAGAACATAAACCTGTTTTGAAACCCACATTACTGTACAGGGAGAAAGGGGTGCAACCAGGTGTTTGCTTTGAAGTTGAATTCACCTATGATCAGTTTATTTTCAAATCCTATATAACTTCTGAGAGAGGAAAAACCGACAAAGGGATCATAACTTTATAGAATAGATTTAAAAGAAGCAGCGTGGGTATTAATAAAGAAATACACGGTTCTGGCTCAAAGCTGACAATGCCTTCTTAGTGAGTAGCTGTATTCAAAATAAAAATCTCCACTACAAAGAAAAGAAATATTTTATTAAATAAGTCAATCAAACAGTAAGGTCCAATAAAAATAACAGTAGGAGAAGGTGAAAAGAAAAAGCAGAAGGTGGTCCATTGTGAATGGAACATTAAATGGGGAAGCTGTGCTTCCTGTGGGGTGCTCCCTGAAGAACTGTGCATACCATCCATTTCAGCCTTGGCACAGCCCTCTGCTCTTCTGAAAATAAAAGAGAAACACATACCGAAACTCTCTCCTTCCATTCCAATAGGGCCAGGTTGAGGAGTCTCTCCATTCTTTAAGCAATTATGAATGTATGCTGCCTTCCACCTGGCGTACTTCCTGTGCTGTGCATTCTGGGGAAAAGAAAAGGCCAGACATTTTCACCACTCACTTCTGCAAATGTATGCATTCAAACCAGAAATATAAACGTTTTCCACCTTGAGAGAAGATTAGAAAACTCAACGGCTTTCTCTTTCATTTGATACCCCTTTAAAGATAAACAACATGTGAAATTAATGGGTGAATTAAAAAAATAAAATAACAGCTCTAACAGGATCTCAGCATGAAAGGAAAATGTGGAGATCTTCAATTAATGCAGCATGTCAGGAAAAGGAAATAAATTATACCAAGACCATCTAGCATGAAATGCAGAGCACTGTGTAGTAATTACCAATGTGAAATGATGATGAAAGTTTCCTATCTCCATAAACTTAAAATGATTATTTACTTTAGATTTAAACACCTGAAACTTAAAATGCTACTGATGCTGATCAGTATTATAAAATCTCTTCTAATTACATTATTTTAAAATTTAAAAATTCATTTAAAAGCATGAATACAGAAAGGCTGATGTAGATGCAGATGTGATTTGTTTGGGATATTCTAGGACATACAATATTCTGATTTAATATCTTCACAACAGAGCTATAATTCAGATGAAGGACCTCTTTTGCAAGTTCAAAAAAACTGCTAATGACAATTTTAATAGTACAGTTAATAGAAAAAAAGTGTCTTTAATTATTATATTGACAGTCAATATATTTTTTTGCAACTCTCTTTTGAAACTGTGTCAGTATGAAGCAATAGCAGTGAGAAGAAAAGTGTCTGCTTGCCTTTCTGATTCCATTTCCATGGTAACAGTTTGAAATTGAAAAAAATCAACATGATTTCTTGTTATTTTCAGTTTCTGGGAAAAAGATTGAGGAAAAGCATTTCACATGGGCTTTCATAAATTCTTTTCAGAAAACATGAGTGATTGAAATAAATGCCAGAATCTTAACTATTTTAAGATTTTCCATTTCATTTTTTAAAATATACTTTACTGTTCCTAGGTACAACCTTCAACATGTCAAAATATGAAATGAAGATTAGCCACTTTGTATTTCCCGGGCCTGTTTCAACAGTGTTTATTTAATCCAGGAAGAGTTCTCAATTGTTGCAACAAATCTTAAACCGATTATGCAAATTAACTACTGTGTCATAAGTTATATGAGAAACGACCAGTTCTGACAGTTATGAGGTAATATATATCAAGGAACAAGGCTGAATATAAACAGAAATGAGAAATTTAGAAGGATGAGTGGAATAAATTGGTCAAATCAACAATGCAGGTTGTGGTAGCATGCTTCACATCAACTTCAAGTTACTGGTGAACTCAAATTTCCACTCTAACAATCACAGGTAATGTGGTTTGGAAACTGAGGTAGACAGACTGATGTCACTTTAAAAGTCCTGACTGAAATTAAATCCAAAGTTTTTGAGAATTAATAAACTGACATTCAATACTGTACTTCACAAAGCCTATTGCACTGTCATCTAAGACAGGGTAGAGAGACACAATACAAAACGTATCTCCAGCAAGCTCCCTTGCTCAAATTTAATATATTGCATCCACCAGGACCCTTATGAAGCCCAAGAGAAAGATACAGTCTTCATTTTTGCAGATAAGATTTTCTTCAGAAAAAAAGTGTATCCTTAAAACAGGTTTATTAAAATACATTCACTACACCTCAGAAGCAAAAAGTGCAATTGGAAAACCTGGTTTTCTGTTAAATACTTTCTTTTAATAACCATTTCTTGTCAGTGTTACAGATTAAATTCCTTTATTATTAACAAGCATACTAGGAGCCACAAACTGTAGAATAATCATCCAGAGTATAATATTTTTAGAAAATATTATTATGAAATATTTAACAGTCTGTACATCTCCCCTCTCTTCCAATATGGCAATTATTTATTGATAAAACATGAAGACGCTGTTGCATCAGGTGTCCATGCCCAGGTGCTGGCAACATGGGGTGGCAGGAGTGAGGAGAGGCCAGGGCTGCCCCACCTTGGATATAACTAGCTCCAGCAGACCCACTGTGGGACACAGCTGAGACTTTCAGCCAGGCTGGTGGTGCCCCAGAGAGACTGTATTTAAGAATGGGCCAAGCACCCTCCACGCCCAAGATGCTGGATGGAGGGAAGAGAAGGGAACAAAGTGTCATGTCTGTCATGCATCCCAGCTCCAAAGGTTATCATTCCAGAACCGAGAAGCAAAATTCTGCTGCGTTCGGTTTGTTTCTAATGTGCACTGCTGTCCCTTTTTGGAAGGCTACCCTACTGAATGAATGTTACTACTGAGCTTAATGAAAAGAACACTACTATCACACAGCCTCCTACTGACCTGATGAAAGCTGCGGCTTGTAAAACACATCTTCTAGGAAATCCCTTTGCCTACTTCTAATGTTGAGATATAGAACATCCCCTCTTAATTTGTGACACAATCCATTCATACTACCCAATAATCAATCCCTGCCACTTAAAAACATACATATTACATACAATACCCATTTTCTGATGCTAGGTGTCAAGTATCTGCTTTCTATGCCTTCTGTTGTTGATTTAAAAGCCTTTAATAATTGATAATCCATATATACGAAGGCATATTACATGTTGAAAAAACAGGTAGATGATCTGAATATAGATGTCATACTATATAACCAGGTGTCAGGCTGAGTTTACTTCAGGCTAACAAAAGCTTCTGCAAAAGTCTAAGACAGCCACATCATATTTGTCCTGTCACTCCTTCATGTGAAACTGGATAAGGAAACTGTTGAAATGTAATGATGCTATACAGAAGTGCAAGCCTTTTCCTGTATCTCTGGTACACTCTCTTTTATTGTCTTCACTGATTAAATAAAATGAGAGAATTCTGCTTCTTTCCAATTTCAAAGCATTTCTGTCCTTTCAGCATCAACAACAAAACCCCTGATACACAGGAGTAAACACACCACTACTAGCACTTCACATCAACACTAATAAAAATTTCTTCCATCTACAAAGGAGGATTGCTTCAAGACCTCTAAGGAGTCACCAAATCAGTGCACTCAATTCCTACAGCCTAAGATTGGTTTTCAATCCAATTCAATATGCATTCACTCTCTGGCTCTAGAAAATGTTATTATTTGATACAGTAAAGGATGTTGGGGTGCAGAGCAGCCAGTTTTAAGAGAACACATGAAAGAGCAAACTTACTTGTGCCTCTTGATAAATGAAAATTTTAGATTGGTATAGTCTCAGGCTGTGGATGATACTTAAAAGAACTTAAAAGAACTCTTGGCCAAGCATTTCTCTTGGGTAAGACCTATCTTTAATATCTACACTTACATCCCATAGTATAAAAGAAGTGCACCACTATTACAATCGTTCTTGTATCCTCCTTCCAAAATTTACAAATGACAGTAGCCACAACAACTGCATTTTAAACAGAGCAAGTACAACTTGCACATCAGGCACACTTATTAGATTGGGGATTTACATACAGGATGTCGAGTCTGTGAATTCCAAGCAGGGCATAGAGAAAAGTGAAGGTGGAAAAAGCCAGGAACCTTTCATCATTTTTCTCTGTAAGCATTCCCACTTGTTCAATATAATGCTATGTGTCCAACAGTAATAATCAAACTTTGAATTTATAACCGATCTTCTCATGAAGCATCTTCTAACAGATAACACTGGTCTAGTATTTCACATATGATTTATCTGAAATACTTAACACAATTCCTAAGATGTATTAACAAGCCTAAGACTATACAATCAGAACATATGTTCTTTGAAAGTCATATTCACACGTTATAAAAGCAACATCTGTGCTAGCAAAAGCAATCACATAATACACTCGTATGTCTAGCACTTACCTCTTCAGTGAGCTCCCCAAATACCGTTAGAACATCCATCAGGAGACTTGCAGTATAAAAGGACTTTATCATGTTTCTGTAATAGAGAAAAGATTTCACTAACTTGGTAATGTCAGTCTTCAGAATCACAGTTTACAAGTTGTCATTTTTAGATCACACTGGTTTATTTCAAGCCAAATATCACTATTTTTTTCTTTTAATCTGATGCTACAGAACCTGCTTCACAACATTTAAATCTAGCAATATATTGGTGTCCTGACTACAGTGCAGAAAATGTTCAGTATTTTTTAAAACTGCTTATGCATTCTGCACTTATATTCTAGTTTGGATGTAGGAAATCCTATATTAGTTTCAAAAAATATATCAACGTGCCACAGTAATTGCTGTAAACCAAACCACATAATGGATCATCACAACTATTGTACTATCATTGGTCAGTAGAAACTACAATATGCATGATGCAAATAAAGTGCAATATTAGCCTGTGGTTTTAGAAGGCTTGCCAGGTTAGCAGCCTCTCAAGGAACATAAGAAGGAGGATACCAAATAATGTGTGAAGTTAGAGACGGACAAGTAGCAACAAATCAAGTTTTCTAAAAGAGAAAAGAATGCATTAAAACCCAATTCTTTTTTCCATTCAAATTAAAGGGAGTTTGGATATTCGCATTCCCTGACCAGCATCTTAATTCAGATAAGAAAACCAAAGATTTTCACCTACTTATGAAATCGTCCAGCTCTGTCTTCATTGTCTGCATATAAAAACATTTTCAAAGCATAATTCTCCACATGAGCAGAACCAACAATTTCCTGAGTAATTGCTTCATTATCACCAAATTGCTTTTTCATCTGAAAAGTGTTGGAAAAGTACAAGAATTACTTTATTAGACCCTAGCAATTCTGCAAACACAAAATGAACCTGCTGACTTAAACAAAGACAAGTACAAATTAAAAAGAAACAACATACACTTTGTTTTACAAGTTTCCAGCTTCTAACATATGAAAATGCTAAAAGCAGTGTGTGAAAGAGAAGGTACATTCTTTTGAAGAGAGAAACATGAGAAACATGAATAAGTAGCTCTGAATCTTCAATCACAAAATAAAAACCACAGAAAATCCCCATAAAAGTTAAAAATAAACACAACTACAATATTGTGAAGGAATAGCTACAGATGTTTTTCCCCTTAGTATCCAAAAGACCAGGCACTCTGAAGCCTGTGTCAGGACTCAACACAGTTCAATCAGTAAAGTAATGCATGCTTTATAAAGGTGCTGTAGATCAGAGTGATCATGTATCTTCCCTCTTATAAAGCTTATTTCACTGCAGCTTATTATATCTTTCAAAGCATGTGAGCCCTACCTTGACTGGTCTAGTGACCTATGGGTTTACTGCAATTTTCAATGTAAGCAGTGTATTTCAATTCAAGAACTCTTTTCAAAGATGTTAGAGTACAAGAATCTTCAGGTTTCCTAATAAAAATCAGTAAAGCAAACAACCCTCTAACAGTTACAACAGGTGGATTTACAGCTTCTGAATAGGCTTACTGTTTGCACATAAGGAAATCTCAGGTTATCCTTAGAGAACAAAAACAGGAACACTGCATGATACTAACCTGCAGTCTTTATTTTGCCAAAAGATTTAAAAACAACCTCTGAATGGTAGTTATTTTTCACTGTGCGTGTGAAGAAAATGTAATCATGCAGGCTGTATTTCCATATTTTTTAGACTGCTGCCAACTTTTTAAGACTTAGAATGTTGCCAGAAAAGTTACTTGATTTCAATAGTGAATAATAAGTTTTCCAAATAGAATTTTAAATTTAAAGATCTCGTCAACAAGTACTCTAAGTAGTTTTTAAAAAGTATTTGTTCCACAAAGTGTAATTTTCTTGTGAGAGTACCACAATTTGTAAACTGAAAGATATGTAACTGAGATGAAACACTGAAACTAACTCAGGAAGAAAGTTGTTTGTATACACATATATTCTCCCCAGCCTGTCTATATACCTCACACGCAGAAAATAACTATACTTGAATCACTCTATATACTTGATCTGACATTCAATGGAGATTATTTTAAACATACAACTGATGTTGTTACATACACTTCTAAAATATTAAAGTTAACCAAGTTATTTACTTTTGAAATTACCCATCACACAGACTGTGATTCAATAAAGCAGTACTGGTGTTATAAATGTTGATTCAAAATCTGAACCTAAAAATCAAGCCACTTCAGTTTAACTTTACAAAAAAAAAACCCTGAACATTTAAATTAAACAGTCATGTATTAGAAAAGCAAAACAACACAAGTTTATGTAAAAATATTTCTGAGGGAAACATGCATTTTGGATACAAAATCACTGTGTTTAATTCACGTTTTTGGAATATTATGAGGTTTCTTGAAAAGAACAGATCTGATAATTTCCAGCTATATCTACACTGTTTTACTCTTTGCTACTGTAAAGCTCAGGATTGTTTGCAAACTTATGTCTTACCTGGCAGCTTATGTGCCAGTGAAAGCGCAGACCTGCAGTGCCCCTTTGTGCCCCCTGGTGGTTAAGGGCAGACTGAAAAAGGCTGCTATTAAACTGCTGCAGAGGTCCAACTTTTCCATAAACCCAAGCTTCCCAGCCCACAAAACTGCTGTACTACATTTGCTTAGAGGTGCTCTCTCCATCCTTCCACCACTCAGATACGTGGAAGAACCTTCAATGCCTGTGCATCAGCTGTCACACAGACAACCTTACCAGAGACTAAAACATGAAAGCATGGACATTTGCTGCTCTTCTAGTCTTTCCACCTTTGAAACAGAAGGGGTAACTGAATGCTGCAGACAGATTAACTGCTGCAGTACCACTAGGGATCGAACAAATTTCAACAATCCCTAGGAAATGAAGAGCAAAATCTTCTGGAGTTTTAATCTCACCTCTCCTGCCACCTCTCCCTCTTTGAGCATGAAAGCCAGGCCCATTAAAAGTGTCAAAATCTGATGAAATAACACACCAAGAAGTCACTGTACACTGAATTTTCCATTACTAAAGATCAGTTATAAAACATAGCAAGAAGCACAAGGTATGAGAAAAAAACCCAAATAGTTCATGTTTCTTTTTTTTTCTAAAGAGTCTTAGAACCATAAAATGGTTTGAGTTGGAAGGGATCTTAAGGATCATCTAGTTCCAACCGTCCCTGCCACAGGTAGGGATGCCATTCACTAGATGAGGTTGCTCAGGCAGGTCTTGAATATTTTCACAGATGAACCATCCATCTTTCACAATTGAAGGTGGTTGTACTAGTTTCACACAAACTCTTCAGGCACTGCTGTGGCTAGATTTTGGACAGAATTACTAATAGTGAACACACAAAGAACTGCTTCATTTTTCAACATTATTTCCTGCTTCCAAAGGAGCACTTAAACCACACACTTCTTCCTTTGAGAATATTGAAAACTACAAGGTATGAACATAAACAGCTCCTAAAACTCATATTGACCATTTATGCAATAACTTTATCTTTCTTTTTTTAAATCTGTTCTATTTAAGGCATTGTAATAGGATCAGATCCATTCAAAGAGCATGGCACAACCATCTCTGACACAGATTAGACTGCACTTACAAAAATTCATAGTATAAAATCTCCAGTCTCTAACAGAGAAGTATCTTTATCTTTTACAGAATATTTTAAAAAACTCCCTGGGTACAAAGTTTTAGGTCAAAACTTTCAAAAGCATTCAAGGACTAGGCTAGTGAGTCCTACAGCAGTGAAAATAATGCTCACACACTTCAAGGAATCAAAGGCAAATACATTTTAAAAATCTTCTAGAACACCTGTATTTATTTCATAACGAATTATGATTTGGCATGGGAATATGTTTGAATAAAGTATTGTAATTCATGTTGTCTACACAAAACTTTGAGGTAAAATTTCAGTTATGTTTGTGCATGCACACATACATACAGCTTTAGCTCTTCCTTTACCTTTTCCAATCCTTCTGCCAATTTATTACATATAGTTTAAATTCATACAGAATTTAATACATGCCTGCATACAGAACAATTGCATCAGTGACCAATGTAAGAGAAGAGACTGTATTTGCAGAATCTTAAATAAAAGTAATATCATGAATCATTTTAAAGGAGAGCAATCAATTCTACTTACAGCTTCCAACTGATCCATAAGCTTGGATAAAAATTTACGGCATTCTGGGGTTTTACTATCGATCTTCATCCCTGTTTGCATTGCATACAAACGGCCTTGAAATGATACAAAACACAAAAAATACCAAAAGTGATTATCTAAGGCAAAACCTATTAGCAAACAAAGCAATGCCTCCCACACATCTGAAAGACAAACTCATGGTTTAACAATGTACTGACATCAGTACTAGTGAGCAATGGCAGTGAAATCCAGATTTGTTTGGTCTTGCAGAGATACTAGGAGATATTATTGTGAGATTAATGCTTTATTTTCCCCAATGACTATTCCCACTGATTTCCAACTGATGTTTTATCACTATTACGCATCATTAAGTGATTTTGTAAATTATCACTACCCTTGTTTGCAATGCTCTCAAATAGGAACTTCAAGTAGATTTGAGAGTGTGTGTACATGTATCTCAAAAATGGAACCTCATGTCTCAGGAACCAGTTAACAAATGGAATTAAGTATCTATTATCCATGTTTTATGCCATGTACATAGCATCAAAAAACTCAAGACACAAACCTGGTCTTTAAAGCAAATAAGACAGGCTTTATTAAACTTTATCTGCAAGTAGGCTTGTCAGGTTTTAATATGATCTTGAAAATGAATGATGATGAACATCTTCTGATTAAAAGTTATCTTTTTACTACCAAAAATCTGTGAAATTTAGATTTGCACATGGTAGAACTTTATAGGCTTCATGAAACTGCGGGCAAATCCAAACAACTGTTATTTACTAGGATTAACATGTGCAGAGAAGGGAAAATGCACAGAAACATTCAGTAACCAAATGCAGAGCATTTTCCACAAAAAAGGCATTCCACCAACTCTCACTCTTGACCTCTAAGGGAGTCCTACAAGACACTTTCTATGCTATGCAGATTTCATCAAGTGACAATACTAATATTGAGCTAATGACTGATAGGTACTCTTAAGCCAAACTTATTTTCAAGATGCTGACATGTTAATATTAAACATTAAGAAACCAGCATGCATAAAGTTGAAATTAGATTTCAAAGAAATTCAAACACAGAAAGAGACAGAGATTTGTATCTAAGGCACTGAAATAAATTAAGTCTATCGTCAATTAAAATACCATCATCACATGATGAGGAATTCATTCTCAGTCTTCAATTAAATTGATTTTTAAAGTTAATCCTTGACTGTAAGCTCCCCTGAACACATTTCATGTGCTCATAATTTAATAATATAAAACTTAAGAATTAATATAAAGGTTGCTAAACCTATGAGCCATCTAGATCAGTTGTTTCTTTTTGAGGGATGGAAGTATCAGATATTTTCAGAAACAAATAAATTGAGACCAATATGTATTAGGGTGACAAATTCAGAATACCCTTGGTCATTACTGGATAGAGATTTATCTTACTTATTGAAGTATGCATCTTCAGATCTCTTCCATAACTCATTTACATAAAAAGAATTCTGTTCCCATATAAATGGATCTTGCAAATGTCTTTAGTCTTGAGGATGTTTAATAATTATCTCCTAATTTTTAACTGTTAATCTTATGTTACCCATATGTGATTTTTTTCACCTCTTTGCAAATACATCCATTTAAACAGTGAAAGCAAAGTAATTTTTTTCCCTCACTTATACCCAAAGGGGTGTATATACAGGACTGTGCCATCTGTACACTTTGTAGGCAGCCCTGAAAAGTCATCCCTTTCCACTCTTAGGGTTTCAGAGTCTCAGAAAAACTTTAATACTCCAATGAACAAATGCAGAAGAACAAGTCTTGAACACACAGAACATACAGGTCAGAAAACAACAGTTACAGTTAAGAAACATGTTTTTCTTGTCCATATATAACTTTACACTGTGGGTGATATCAAGCAATGTTCCATACCAACACCACTCTCCTACCAACCGAAAAGTCTGGGACTGAAGTGCCCAAGAATCCTTAGGTCATTCAAGACTGAAGGTCTATTATCCAAAGCACAGACTGTCAAGAAAACATGACGGTGCTCTAGCAGAGCAGTTCTACAGATACTAAGAACAGACGTCCTACAGACAATTAATGTCACCTGAGATAAGATTAAATGTGTTCCACCTGTCACAGCAATTACACCTCTGCACCACAAAATCGACCATATGAGGCAGTTACCACATTTAGCCACCAAACCCCAATTTGTACCAATGCCTATATAAATTGTATAGGAGATTTATTGAAAGATCTTATTAATTGGTAAAAGGTCAAAGCACACTTAAGTTACTGTAACAAGAGAGTCTACTGTGATCTTTAAGAACTTTTGAAGTCCAGAATTTTTAGATACTCACGTCTTCATATACATTTAAAAGGAGGACTACTGCATAACAAACCTGTCTAGACAGGCCTCTAATGAGGCAGTCATTGAGATAAAGGCAAAACCTATTCCTTCCTTCACAATTAAGTGGTATTCAAGAAAGAGCAGGATATCTGCGAAAACTACTATTGACAGAGTATCACTACCTAACAGCATTCCATACCAAAAGGTAGTTTTGACTCAGATATCACTGATAGAAGAACCTGATTGTAATGAAGGATGAGGCAACCTGCAGGTCAGAAAATGCAAACCAGACCCTACCAGTCAAAATCTCCACAAACATCAGTTTCAGTCGATGAACTGAAGACACAGAAGAAAAAGTACACTCTCCACAGTCTGAATCTCTCACCACTGCCAAACAAAATGTTGTTAAGTATGTTTAGGCACACTTACTGCTTTACTCAGCACTGCTCTAGTCAAAAGTAGGTCTTTGGGATAGAAAACCTCTATCAACAATCACTAAACTTATCAAGCAAACAGCACGTATAATAGCCTAAATGCTAAAAAATTAGAGATTTCTAAGGACAGAAACAAAACAGGAAGTTGAGGAAATAATTTGGTATTTACCTTTAAAGACACCACTGAAACAAAAATATTTTTAATGTTTCAAAATTTTTCCTTTGAAATTATCTATCTGTATGAAGAGCAATATGTGAGTGAATTTGAAAGCAGTAAGCAATTTCTTTTCAAATCCCTTGCCTTATTACCAACAACAGGAAAAAGTGTCTACTAGTTCTACTCTTTCCATTTTTGAGTATTATTATATTGTATTCCTAAGGCAAAGAATTAATTTCCAAATGCAAGTTTTTCCATGTCTACATCTTTTGCCATTCTCTCTGCTCTCTCTAATTTTGAAACATCCCAAGTGTACTGCATGAAGGCTACCTGTAAGACTGTGTTGGTTTTGATACTACTACTTTGCCAATTAAGATGTTAGAACTCTCCAGCATACCTTTCACTTTTGTGTGTACTTCATCATACAAGTAATACTTACGGTAAAGATACTTAATAGTAACTGAAAAATATGTTTTCATCTAGTGAAGGAAATCTATTAATGCCCTTTTCCTGTCTAACTTGCAGCAAATGGGCAAACTCAATTACTAAATTTTCATCAGCAGTGTGCAAAATATAACTTTGCTGTGTTAATATTGTCAGTCATATTTTAAAGTGGTAATTAATGGTTAAAGAACTGTCCTTCATGTTTATGTTGACAGGTAATCTCAGTAGCAAATAACTCATAAGCAAGAGGCTAAAAGTTTACTGCCTCCAACATTTCTGCTGAGAAAGTCAACAGTGACATGAGTTCAGTTGGCCTCTCCTCCCCACATCTAAAAGAAAAGAGAGTAATTGTTTACTTCCCTTTAAATACAGCTGTTTTGGTTCCTGTAATATTGCAAAAGTAGTGGCAAGTATTATTACTGTGTTTGCTAAATCACAAAACTTTTGCTTTAATGGAAGTGGTTCAACTTCCACCAAGTGGAAGTTAATCTCCTGAACAGTATGGACACCACAGAAAGACATCCTCTTAGTGTTCTGTATTACAAATGCATTATTTTACCTTATAAAATACCATACCTGAGATGCCATTTTACATCAAAATTATTTCATAGAAAAAAATATCCAAAGTGCATGTCCCTAATGACCACAGTAATATACTGTAAAACTTAACAAGTTACAGGAGCCATTTGCTTAGTAACATTTGATAAAAAAAATTCCTCTGTGAAAAGCCAAGCTTCTGGAAATGCTGATGGAAAAAGACAACTACATCCATACATTGTAGCTGCAAGTTTCCAAGTTTTTAAACCCTAAATGGAGTGTATGAAGAAAGTAGACAGTCTGGGAATTAAGGGACCTGTAATTCTCATCTCTCTTCACTATTTGTGATGAAGTTCTGGAATTCTTGGAAACAATCAGATAAATGAAATGATTCCTTCTCTTTGTTTTATGCACTCAATAACAGACACAACTATTTTTTGCCCCTTTTATCTAAATCAAGTAGCAAAAAAGACTTTAACGTGGCGAACAACAGTAGTATATGCATAAAGTAAAGCACTAAGGAGGTAAAGGAGGTTACATAGAGCTAACATATAAATATTAAGGAATATTATAAGTAGAGCTAAAGTCATTTGTAATTTTATACACAAAGACAGAACTGTTTTGCTAATTATTAACTAGAAGAGAGCTTGCTCTCAGTTTGCAGACAGGACATTTATCTTCAAATCCATAAAGACTTGGCAAGTTATCATTCTCACAAAAATATTTTGCCAAGACAACTACAAAATATACATCTTGACTTATTGCCCTTAATCTTTGGTCAGTAAATACTAAATGTGGGTGTGCTGGATGGAATTATACAGTGAGCTTTACAGAAACTTCTTTGCCTTCATTTATGTCACGTTATTTTTCCTTTGCTAACACCCAGCACAATTTCAGAGAAAGTATTTTGTCTTTAGTACGTGCCAGGCATTCATTCCTCATACACATTAAGTTACTCCAGATTTATGTTTGGATAACAACTGAAACTCCCCTCACTCCCACTTTAAACTAACTCTGTGCCAAGTAAAAAATACTGGAGAACAAAAGTTCCAGCCAGCAAGCATGCACAAAACAAAAAATTCTGTCCTCCTATCCATCTTTCTTTTTCCTGGCCTAACAGGATCAAAAGATTATATTTCTTTTTCCCTGTACATGTTTAATTCTCTGTCATACAAAAAAAAAAAATTATTAG